GCTATGGGTGCATCCGGCAAGCACTTCGTCGAAATTCCCTGATACTTTGTTCGCGCGAACCGGCATGTCGACCCCGGTGAGGTCTCCTCACAGTAGTGCATCGAATCGCGCCTCTCGTGCCTATGGCGTTGGCAATAGCTCTTTCACGGGCATCTTGGCCTACGACTTGGCTCTCACTTGTCCAGGCTACTGAGTGCAGGTATGCTTCGGTGCAGCAATGGCGCTGACTGACTCTGGTACCACCGAGGGAGCGATACGCACGTAATTGCATACTACAATGCGGAACTTCGGCCTCTCTGTAACGGCCCCTATGAATGACCCACCGGATGCATTACGCCTGGTTGTCTGAATGTTCCCATATTAGGAGCCATGCCACCGAACACGAGCTCCGACCTTTAAGCAAGACTCCGACTGCACGGCACTCACATGCGGCACCGATGGCGCTCTTACACTCCAGCTCTTGCATGCCATGATATCGACTATCTTACAGTTGAACATATATTTCGAAAGATTTTATATCGACACTGTTCCTAAGGCATTATACCTGTTCTGATGGCGGAGGCCAACTTCTGTGTCCGGTTTCTAGGTTCAAGTCCCACCTGTGCAGTGTCGTACGGACATGGAACGACCACAGGAAGATACCAACACCTTTGAAGTGCGGTCCAAGCGCCCCGGCCCGACTGTCACAGCCTCCATCAATCAGCGTCATTATTATCGTTCCCGCCACGAGCCGGCTACTATACTCACGGCGGTTACATCCCGGATCAACAAAGGTTTCTACTGTGCCCTGATTCATTCCAAATCATTTCAGTAGGGCCAAAGTTTCGAATTCTACAGCTGCCGTGCTTGCAAACAGTGGCATAACTCTAAGTACCTACAAAGTCTCAAGTCCCCGTTCCTCTTCTGTATCTATCAGTGTGTATATCATGCGGTAGCTCTATCGTGTGGTGCAGATGTGGAAGCCTGGCCATGTGTGTGTGTATACCAGCGCGTTTAGCGGGAGCGTGTTGACCGACATGTAGCCGGCGCATGAGGCTTTCATCTTATTGGTGTGCCAATTTGCACCTTCCAAAAAGGCTACCATAGCTGACTCTATTACACAAGATCCGCCAATATGTTACCGTAGTACTAGCTGGGCTTGTCTCCTGCAGAGCAGCTTGGTCATCCATCAGGGTCATGGGCCTGAGCTGGCGCACGCAGTAGGGATGGTTACTTATGCTTGCCGAGCTGCCAGGGCCAAGTATTCTGCAGCTTGCATGTATCAATGCGCAAAGTTGCCACGGGCTTGGAAGTTTTGACCAATAGAGACAGAAGGTTGACGCGTACAAAGCACGATCTAGTCAATACAGTGAGTTGCTCTAACTTCCCCTATTGCCGCTCGATTAGCATCTGGCCTTACCATGCTTGGGAACAACTCTCATACGCTGAAATAGCCGCCTGTACACAATATTGCCAGCAGTGAAGAGCTATTGTAATGGGTGCTTCGTTCGCTGCACGAGCATGATTTCTGGTTGCAAGGGCACATGAAGCAAGGCTCGTCGCGTCGCCCAAGGTCCTCGTCGCCATTTCTCAAAACTTCCAAGATGAGAAGAGCTCAAGACTACTCCGATGACGGCGAGGATCGGACGCCTCCACAGAGACAGGAGTCAAATCCCGGTGTTTCTGGCAGCTTCAGTCGTCCCAAATCCGCATCGTTCGCAGGTAACCCTTCACCGGACATTACGCCAGCTTTCGACTCGATGAACGCCCCAATACGGGCTCAACAACGTCCACACTCGATAATCCTACCTTCGCCTTCTTCCTTCAACTTCCACATCTCCCAAAGCCTGCCTTCAATATCACCACCAGCGATGTCGCAAACATTAGGACCAAGTCCGAGCTTACACGACCTCCAACAGCAAATCAGCCTCAAAACTTCGGAATTGCGTACCCTACAGCGCGAATACGGTACTCTGCTCCAGAGCCTCGAAAGACAAAAGACGACATGCGCCACGCTCGAAAGAAAGCTCGAAATCAACGACGCAGAGGTCATCCATCTTATGGATGAGAAGGACAGGCTGTCAGCACAAGTTTCGACAATGGAAGGTCAAATGGAAGAGCTACAGCAGAGTAGGGATGAGGCTCGGCAGCAGCTCATCGCTAATGGCGCACAATATATGCAAATCATGGACATGGCCAACCGGCTCCAGGCACAAAGCACTGAAGAAAAGAGGGCATGGGAAGCTGAGAAAGCCGAGCTCGAGCAACGCATACGTTTACTGGAAGAAGCTATGGTGGTTGGAACTGAGACGTCGGTGTCGATATCAGACACGGAACAACAACCTGGCATCACTCCGGATCCATCGCCCGTCGACTTTACACACAATACCAACATTTCGGTCTCTTCCCAGAGAGAGACTATTATCGTCCTCCGTGCTGAGATCAGTCGTCTTCGCGCGAGAACCCAGAGACTTGAAGCGGCTGTGCAAACTATGCGGCGCGAAAGTCTCTCTATCCAGGAAGCAGCAAGGCAGATACTGGAGTCCAGTGGGAAGATGGACGAGACTTCAATCGGAGTAGAAGGTGGTCAAAGATGATACAATACAAATTGCGCAGCACAAATCACTCTCCCCACAAAAGTTTATTCGCCAACAGCTTCGCACTATTGTTTGGGTCTCGTATTGGAAGGAAATTAGGCTTAAGGGACGGATCACAAGGTTTTCATGTTACTCTGCTATCTATACCCTGTCATAGTGTTCTATGTAGACTGAAATGTGGACGCTCCTGTAGAAGTACATGTCTCAAGCGCAATGGAAGATTAGAAAGGTGCTGATTGCCGTACACTGTTATGTGTGAGAAGAACATACACCTTCATTTGCCTCAGTTACACCTACTTCCTCTGGGTTTCTCAGCGATACGTAACGGTGGATGATGTAACGAACGCACCGTGATTTTGTGGTGTTTCTCTAGCGACGTTCCGCTGACCGATAACTGGACAACACTTCAGCTGTATCTAACATCACCCCATCTTTACTAAGCTTTATTGCCCATTCTATCTAGGTAGTCTTCGCTTACACCTAGAGATGCTCAAATAGTTACTGTGTAACATACTCAACTCCGTAAGCCAGCGGTACGCCACGCATTGCTTCGTTGCCTCGCCATCGCCCTTGGTGCATATGCTTGGCGGGTTTGGACGGCGGTATGCCTGCTGAGTTGGCGAGGAGCGTAAAGGAGGCCGAGATGCTGACTGTTAGATGCTCTAGCCCGTTGCTTGCACTCTTACAGGGCCAAGATTCAAGGGGTGGTTGGGTCTCGTAATCATGTGGAAGCCCGTATTGAGTGCTGACGATCATCACCACCGCTTCATAATGCCTTTGCTTGTTCTGAATCGAACGCATTGACTTCGATGGCTAGTCGAACGTGTAATAGATTATAGGAATCTTCCTATCACAGTGTTCGGCCGTGTCTTCCACGATAGAAGGCTAGTGGTGTTGACTGGTGGCTGCAAGCCAACCTAGGAAAAGACTGAAAACCCTAGAGCCTACGTTGAGGTTAGGTTACCTACTTTGCAGGTTTTTGTCTTGATGTAGTCCTCACACCTGGTTAGTTTCTTCCGTGTGTGAGGTGGCTTTAATGTGGAAAGACGGGGGCTAGAGCGGGGGTTCCAGCTCCATCAAGTCGGCGATCTCGTGTCTGAGTTCCTGTTTCTGCGAGATGCTAAGACATGGCGTTGGATTGCTAAGCTTTACGTTATGATCACTTTATGAAGCGCCTATGGAAGGAAAGTGACTCTATACTAGAGGCGTTCGAAGCGTTGCGACTGTTGAATCATACTACACGACTATTTTAAATCCACCCCTGCTTCAGTCTGCGATGGCTACCGGACACAGACCCCCATATGCATACCATCTACCAGCAGAGCTTTATCCGCCGCTTCTCGCCAAACAGTTCCATCGTCGTTCTTCGTGGGTATCGGTAATCATCCGCACTTATCCCTGGGTGGCTTCCTTCTGTTTCCGGGCTTCGTCCTCTTCAGGCGTTCGAGTGATGAGTTGCAGCGCGTGTATACCGCCTTCTTGAGCTAACTCGTCCTTCATCAAGGAGTTGATCATGCGATGCCGTGCGAGCTGCATCTTGCCTTGGAAGGCTGGCGATGTGATGAAAACACTGTGAGTGTCAGGAATATAAGTCACATAGTTGAGAAGCTTGCAGGTCGATGAATACCGGAAGTGTGTCTCTCTGCTGGTGACTCCTTGCATAGCTTTGTGGTGGGCATGCTTATTCGAGTCGTTGAAGATCTCGAGAGAAGTCGGCTTTAGGGCTTCTGTGATCTACGGAAACTTTAGATGCGATCCTGGGTACACAGTTGAGGTATGTCAACTAAAGTGCATAAATACCTTGGTCCTCAGAGCATCTTCCATTGGTGTCATGGACTGAGCCATGGCTGACATGAAACGCTTTCCAGCGAGCGCGACAGTTGGAAAGAACATTCACAACAGTGTTTCCTAGTCGGGTAGGGTGTCAAGTAGGACCAATGAGAATACTGGATCGCAGTGGTGGAAGTATTGGGTTGCGTCGGCCCTAGAATTCGTGCCGAGGCAAGCGCCAAGACGAAATCGGAAGGCGTCGCGTCATGGTTCCGAAAGTTTGAAGCGCAGTCAGACGAGCCATTGAGGCCATGGACCTGCCAGAGCACCCTTTGGAAGATGATTATGATATGTAGAATAGCGTCTTGATTACCGTACTCTTACAATTAAATGACAACTTTTGCGCTGCTGTTTGGAGACTGCAGAAACACGATCACTGCGACGCGGCTCTAAACACAGCATATCTCGCACCGATCTGCCGTACTCCGAAGCCTCGAAACCTGCATCAATTGCGCTGATCCGGGACATCTCCCTGCCGCCATGTGGGCGCGTAATCTTTTCGCTCGCACCCTGACACGACACAAAATATCTCTGCCGGCATACAACAGCCATTGCTGCCCACCCGTCGCACACGCTCCCTTCTATACCGTGAGAATGGCATCCACGCTGCCCCGCCTCCCCGTCTTCGAAGCCATCAAGAAGCACGATGCGCAAAGCACGGCCGTCGTCCACTCTCTTTCCGGGCGGTCCTTCACGTACGGCGAGCTTGTAAACGATGTCGCTGCTGCCAAGGACAAGCTGCAACGGAACTGCGGCGGACAGAGCGCAGAGGGCCAACGGATATCCTTTCTGGTAGAAAACGGATACGACTATGTAGGTGCGCGTTCCTCTACGCCTCGTTTACAATAGCGAAGAACAGCTGAATCTCACGCATGCACAGTGACCCTCTTGTCCATCCTCGCCGCACATGCAATCGCTGTACCGCTATCGCCGACCTTCCCGGCACACGAGCTGCGATACATCATCGACCAGAGCGAGTCGCTGATGCTTCTCTCGTCGGAGAAGTTCCAGAGTCAAGCCGACGATGTGCTGAAGGAGGGAATAGAGACGCAGCCCATCAACTACAAACAGGACAAGATTATGATGGGCAAGACGGACGACTACGTCACGCTGGAGGAGCCCACCAGCGACAAGGGAGGCATGATGCTGTATACATCGGGCACTACAAACCGACCCAAGGGTGTTTTGTTGCCTCAAGACGTGCTAACGGCACAGTCGCGATCGCTGCTGGAGGCGTGGAACTACAGTAAAGACGATGTGTTATTACACGTTCTGCCTTTACACCACATCCACGGCACCGTCAACGCATTGCTTACGCCTCTCTTCGCCGGCAGCACCATCGAGTTCCAGTTCCCCTTCAATGCTGCCGCTGTATGGGACCGACTGGCAGCTCCCTTCCTACCGAGCCCCGATCCAGCCAAGAAGCCCATTACCTTCCTTACCGTCGTCCCAACCATATACACGCGCCTACTCGCATCGCATCCTACCCTCTCGTCCGAACTTCAAGCCGCGACCAAGACCGCGCTTCACCCATCGAATATGCGCCTCAACATCTCAGGGTCCGCTGCCCTTCCTACACCGGTGAAGTCATCGTGGACGGAGCTCAGCGGGGGCAACGTGCTGCTCGAGCGATATGGCATGACTGAGGTGGGTATGGCACTTTCCTGCGGATTGGATTTCGCAGACCGCGTAGATGGCTCGGTAGGCTGGCCGCTTCCATCAGTACAGGCGCGTTTAGCAGACATCGAGACCGGGGAAATCATAGAAGAGGGCAAAGAAATTGATCACGAGACACAACGTGAACGCCAGGGCGAAATCCAACTGCGCGGTCCTACAATCTTTAGAGAATACTGGAAGAACCCCGAAGCCACCTCGAAAGAGTTTACAGAAGACGCGGATGGACAAGGGAAGTGGTTCAAGACAGGCGATGTCGCTGTTCGAAGGAATGTCAAGGGAGCAGGCGAGAGCGACCAAGCATGGGCCAAGGGACCTCTCTACTTCATCCACGGGCGCAAATCAGCCGATATCATAAAGACCGGTGGCGAGAAGGTTTCTGCCCTCGAGATCGAACGCGAGATGCTTTCCCTCCCTCAAGTCGACGAAGTTGCCGTTGTCGGTCTACCATCAGAAGCCTGGGGTCAAAAGGTCGCTGCCGTAGTGGTACTGTCCGAACAGGGGAAGACAGCAGGTAAGGGAGGCAAAGCATGGTCTGCGCTGGACATGAGGAGGGCGCTCAAGGAGATGCTCGCAAACTACAAGATCCCTCAAGAGATGAAGGTCGTGGATACTATCCCAAGGAACGCAATGGGTAAGATCAACAAGAAGCAGCTTGTCAAGCAAATCTGGGGCGAAGCATTGGAGGGGACCAAGGAGAATGGTGCTATACAGGTACCCAGTGGAAGTGTCTAGTAATGTGTAGATAGTAATAGTGTAACATCTCCAATCATCAGCAAATATTGTTTCGACAAGAAAAGGGCCATGTTCCATATATTAGACGACTTTGACAGCCTTAGAAACCCCTCACCTTGATCACTATACTCCGCAAGATGAGCATAACAACGCCAAGATTGCAAAGCCACACCCGTCATACTGTAAACGCTTCATTCCCCGGGTATGCATATACCCTTTCCCCGCCTACCGGAAAGCAATCATCGTAACTTGCATGAGCGCAGCGTCAAAGGATCCCGACAGCGCCTCTGACCTCAGCCCAGAAAGGAGGCTTGGGGTGGAGATGCTTGTACATCGTGGCCTCACGCCACGCCAAGGCAAGCCACAACTGCCATGCCGTGACGTGTGCCATGCCTCCTAGTAGCAAGCCGTTGGCGCCTGCAGCGGAGGAATCGACCGATGGCTCAAGGCAACTAGGTTTATTGGAAGATCTGCAATGCGGGAGATGATTGTGAGGTAGACTCCGGCTGTGCGAAGAGTGCAGGTTGTCATGTTGGAGGGAATTGGGGTACGGGGAAGGATGATTGGGAAAGGGGACACGCGAGTATGAATCAGACGGCAATGCATCGCATCGCGACATTGCATTCAAGCTATTCAAGAATGGGTATTCGAAATGGTATTAAAAAGAATACATGTTCGTCACGGGCGATACACGTGATTTACGCGTATCTGATCCCATGCGGTGGTCATCAACTTCGGCGCATTCAATGCTGATCCATGATAACGTATCCCGTGTTATCCTCATGCATCAAATATCGACTCGTGGGTATGACAGTGCATTCTATGCACTGCCTTATGCGGTGTGGCCAGCATCGGCACGGGCAGCCGAGTTGTCGACCTTGTTGCGACGCTCGCGGCCCTTCTCAGACCAGGGGAAGTGAGCAACGGGAATAACGAAGAAGCTATAGAAGATTAGTACGGATTGGGACGATAATAATGGCATTGAGTACTAACCTGTTTGAGCTGTCCGCGATACCAGCCAGGGCGTTGTACCAGGCGATGAAAGCAGCCATGAGACCAAAAGCACCACCAGCGACGATGCAGTCACTTTGTGGGCCCGCAGCATCAGCGTTGAGGTAACCAATTCCGAGGAGGAGGAACGCCATGTCGAGAGTGAAGAAGAGCGAGAAGAAGGCTATGGTGGATCGGAGGGTGCAGATCAACAAGAGGAAGGTAAAGATGAACCAGCCCATGAGGAAGAGACCGAAAGAGTTGTAGAAATCGCCCGATTCCAGAAGCGTCTCCTCAATCGCGAATCCACCTGGTGTAAGGATGATGGCGAAGGAGATCCAGAAACCTCCGTAGGATGAAAGCGCGGTCGCACCAAATGTGTTTCCGACAGCCATTTCCCTAGTCTTCTGTTAGGACGCGTATGGACAAATTGACTGATAATACATACCACATGCCAGCCAACAGCTGCACGAGACCTCCATAACCGTACGCAGCAGCCACGACAATGTTTGGGTGACCAATGCCTCGGGTCTTGACGTTGATCAAAGACAGAACAAAGGTGGTGAGGGCGAAAGCCGACAGACCCAGAGGGGCTGGGTTGGCGAACTTGCGGTTCGGCGGCCTGTATAGACCAGGCTGGAATTCACCACCAAAAGCTGCGAGACGGAGATCTGGGTCGTTGGTAGCAACGTGGGCGAGAGGGTTGCCGCCATAGTCGTATGGTACCCTTTGCTTGGGCATTCCTGCACCGTTGACTGCCGCGTGATCGGTCGCGCTGGTGCCGTTGGTGTTCTTCTCGAAACTCGGGCCACGCTATCAAGACAGTTAGATTTGGTACATATGTTTGGCGCATTCGAGAAACATACCATGGTGTCGTTGTGCTCACGAGCGGTCGCCATGATGTCTACTATGAATGGCAGGTGCTTGACGTGTTCTGGTCCAGACTAACTCAAGACGGGTTCAACGGGGGGAGAGTCTGGGGAAGGAGAAGTCAAGCCGATTCTGGGGGAGCGGAGAGACTGATATATGTCCAGAACAGATCAGACCTCGCAGGGGAAGCATGGTCCATCTACGTGTGCCATGAGCCGTCGTCCCATACTGGTGCTAGTCCCGCAACTAAGGCTAGGTAATTAGAATTCCAAACAGGTGCTAAAGCGGACCACTCATGGCAGTTCCCCATAGACGCCTCTCCATGCCGGGTAAAAGGACAGCATGCGTCTCCACTGCGAATCAATCAACTGAGGGCACGGTGGACGGACGAACGACAATCAGTCGACCCCAAGCCACCATGCGCCGTGTGATCGGCGCCAAAGCTGCCTTAGCGAGGCCGGATGGACACCGACAATGAGGATGGCAGGTGGTGCGCCAACCGATCCAGCAGTGTTCTGTCTTGCTCAGACGGGCTCAGCTGCCGCGATGACGCGGAGAAATAAGATGCGCTGCTCGAATTCCCAAGTACAGATCGCCGACCAAGTCCCAAGCATTACATCATCGTCTCTTGTGACCATGACACATCAGCTTCCTTCGAGTGTTTTGATCGCGAACACGGCAGAAGGAGCCTGGGATTTCGAAACTTCGTATAGCACACAGACCGCTATCGATCTCTGCATGTTAGCGGTCTGACTGCATGTTTACCCTTGAGGAGGGCCCCCTGCGAGAAACGTGTGTGGGAGTGGAGCTCCAGTCAGTGCGCCAACGCTCAATTTGCTCGGAGTAGTTAAAACGCGAGGTCGGGCGTTCTGACATGTACGCGAGCCTCCCAGGTGCATTCTGCCCGTTGGACTGGGATGCCGGATATCGCGGGTGCGATATGGTGACACGATATATGAACGCAGCTCTTCTTTTGGCCTTTGCGTGGTTGTTGGATGATGCCTCAGTTGGCATTGCACTGCAAACAGGCCCACGGCGTCCTGTTGCTGTAGAAGCAATTTACTGGGGCGTGCTTTGAAATTCAAGATCGTCAAAGGCCGCGGAGGAAACGGGATGATGGCCTTGTGCATGAGGTAAGGCGGCTAAGCTTTGTCCAAGAGCCTCGGCATAAGCCACCGGCATCTTCCAATATCATGACATAACGAAACTCTAGCAGAGACTGCGAAAATGCGCCGTCGCAACGGCTCGCGCAGTCGCCGAATATTTGAATTGGAAGTGCGTTCTGGAGAAACGACGAACACAAAAAGTCTGTCCATCAATTGTGGGATCGATAGTGCTAGCGTAGCGTGCTGCCGCCATGTCCTGGCCGTCCGGGGCTGCGTGGGGCCCCCTAGTGGAGCAGCAGCTCACCACCCATCCTAGAGGTGCGGTTGAGACGCAGGTTGGCTGTTGCACGTCCTCGGTCCAGCGGGAACACATGTCAAGTCATTTGCACCTGCACCCTGCCGTTCCGTGTCTGCTGTATCCGCGACAGGAGTGGTGTCTATGCCAGCCATGGCGGTTAATGCCGTCTCAGAGTCTTTTGCTGTTCCGGGAAGGTACAGATGAATTGTCCTTGCAGTGCCTTCGTTGTCAAAGATAGCTGAGGTCGCGCGAGAGGATGAAACAAAGCAACCAACATCGATGTGTAAGGCCTTCCACGACAACGGGTCACTCCAGGCATCCATGTCAATTGCGTGAGACAGTGAGATGGCGCAATTGCGTGGCACTTTAGGCTAATGAAGCACTGTAAAGGTGCATCTGTAATGTTTGTGGTGGCATTGCTTGGAGTGCTTCGTGCCTACCACGGCGCTCAAAGACGAGACAAGTTCTGCGGATTGCGCAGGAGGCTGTGGGCGGTACTGAGGAAATGGTGTCAGAGTTTGTCTGTTATTCAGGATGCTTTTGTCAACAAAATGCCCCAGTAATGATCAGGCTCTGCTGTCATTGCGAAACCCGCATGTATTACACACATACATGTTGTACGAGCTCTCTAGAATAGTAATCATTTTGCCTAATACATAGAGTGCGTTCTATTGCTTGTAATTTATGTTGGGTGTTCCGAGCTTCGCGACAATATTGATCTAGGTATACCGCCGTCGATGCGCGTTGTGGTACCTGCATGAAACAAGCAAGCTCCTCGTGTATTGCACGAGACAAGAGACAGGTCGGTCTTTCCATAGAGCCGCATCTACGCGACAGAAAGTTAATGAGTGCTGTTATGTCGTCTCTATGTTTGCTTGAGGTGATCGGCTACGGCTCCGCCGCAATGCCAGAAGGTTTCGGAGACGAGGAAGAAGGGTCCACCCAGATTGTGGAGAGACAAGATCTGGGGACTCCACTTCGACCCTGCGTAAGAGCGTGCCAGGGGTCAGGAGAGTCTGGGAAAGCGGAAAGACAGTCTGGTTACCCGCCAGTTACCGAGGGGCCAAGTGGTTTCCGCAGTCCTCCGGCACGCTGCTATCCATACACCGGCCGGGAGTCGCGGGTGTCTTTTCGCCGAGAACTGACGAGTCTCAGTATCCATTCCCAGTAGCCATCAGGTAACTTGACAAGCGTATGTGTGAGGAGGTACATAAGTCCAATGTTGTTTGTCGTTGTTTCAACTTGTTGCTGAGGTTTGGCTAAAGCAGCAGCGAGCCTTGGAGGCTCCAAGGCTGACCATGGTCATACACTTCAAGCTGTCTGGACTATGCCAACTTACCTATAACGTTCTTGTGATTGCGAGGCAAATTTTGCGCCTCGAAGCATGGCCTCTGAGGTGGAAAGGGCGAGAGGACGTCGCAACAAAGAGGACATGGGCAGAGAGGTGGCGTTTCTTGTCCCTCTCTGCCGGCTTGTCACCTGCTTGGCGCATCTCGCTACCAACACAGACACCGGCAAGTAAAGGAGGGCCGAATACGGTGTCAAAGTTACCGAGCGCGTTGTCGGCAACATCAAGTCGCGCCTTGAAGCTGGTGCGCGATGTTTGGTTTGGTGCCCAGGTGGTGAGGCGCGTCTCCGGGCAGAAAGCTGGCTACGTAATGGGTTGGCGATCGATAGGTAGCGCGGGGAAGCTCCAAGCTCCAAGCTGCCTGCCCAGGTGTACTCGGGGTTTAGGC